TATTAAATAATTCCAGTGTGTTTTGAGGTTTGGAGTTTTAGCCAAGATGCTCTGGGAGGCGATGGAGGGAATGGCAAAATACCAAGGGTGTCGCTGCCCGGAGGGCGGGCTCGGGGCAGCAAGGCTCTGCCCGGCTCCTCGGGCGCTGTGCTACTGCAAAGGGACCGATGGTGCGGTGTCTCCCCTGGCTGCAGGTACTGGGATGAATTTCACAGGTGTGCCCTGGCAGCGCTCTGGGAGTGCCAGAAGGAAGCAGTGGCTGTCTGGGAGCTGCTGAGACGGGAGTCTCGAACAATCAAATTTCCAGGCAGCTTGTTGGACCTCTGCAGCCCCAGCACGGCCCAAAGCTTTGCCTGGATCCACGTTCCCAACGTTTCCGTCCTCGGCATCCCCCTCGTCGTCACTTGGCTGAGCTTATAAACTGCAGCTCTGTAAGTATTGCAACAAAGGTGGTGGCAGCGTGTGTCGTGGCATCTTTCTGATCATTTTTCCAAACCTTTGAGGAATACACTGTGCGGTGCTCAGCAAACACTTGGCTCCATCCTGCGCCTGTGAGACGTGGAAGAGCTCAGCACCATCTCCTGGGTTTTGCTATTTCTCTGTAATTTGGGATAATGACTGTCCCGTTCTGCCTCAAGGCACAGACGCAGATCTGGCTGACTGCAGAATTCGGGAACTTGTAGATACGGGGCAGAGGATTTGGGGAAAAATGATAAATTGGTCATGAACGCTGGATTCTTTTGTACTCTTCTATGGCTACTGGAAGGAAACTTGTTGACTTTGCTGACTCTTTCCACCAGATCCTCTCTCCAGATTTTTGATCTGGGCACTGAAAACAAGATGGGCGTTTTTACCACTGATTTGTGAGGTGCAGGGAACAGCGTATGTCCTGTCAAAGGCAGGAAGGAGCCCTTACCGCCCTCAACTGGCCTCTCTTCTCTGAGGACATGGTGAAACCCCTGCTGAAGAATAATCACAGGTGCATGACTTCTCTTGCGCTCATCTGGATTCCCGAGTAACTCCCATGTTATGTGTAAATCCCTTTTCTAAGGAAATAGAGGGCAAAAATATTTGGGGGGAGAGGGAGTGTCAAGCTAGCAGGACAAAAAGGATTTATAGCAACTCTTTTGCTTTAAAGCTTTCCCCAGGGTACCTGTAAGCAGCTCTGTGGGTGGCAGTGTGTAATTTCAGAGTATTAAAGTTTGTTGTCGAGCCTACAGCATGGTAGAAGTTATTTGTCCTGGCTCTTGTTCGATAGCAGTGTCTCTTCTTGTCTCCTTTGTAGCTCAGAGCGTTGTTAGTTTTGCAGCTTCAGTACAAGCATGAAAGTATTTGCAATAGAGAGGTGCTTGCAAGTGATTTCTGGCTATGTTAGAAAAACACAACAATATTACTGGGCAGTACAAGGCAGTTCTGTGTTTTAAGGATGCTAATGTAGCTCTGTGCCCTGCCTGGCTGCACAGGCCCATGGGAGCCATGGTGACCCAGTGTGGGTCTGTAACTTGTTCTGTGAGGGTCTCAGGCCAGTTCCTTGCTAAGAGGAAGCACGGTGAGTCCTGATGGGACTTTCTACCGCTTCCAGTGCATTCCCCATGTGGTACTGCTACTCCGGAACGGGGAAGGAGCTGGTTTTCATCATACTCTAAATCAGGGCTCAACAGCTGGATGTGGTGGTGAGCTCCATGTTCACATTATAGGTGTAAGGAAGACATTTTTTATGCTGAGGGTGTTGAAGCACTGGCACAGGTTGCCCAGAGAGGTGGTGGATGCCCCATCCCTGGAAACATTCCAGGTCAGGCTGGACGGGGCTCTGAGCAACCTGATCTAGTTGAGGATGTCCCTGCCCACGGCAGGGGGGTTGGACTAGATGACCTTTAGAAGTCCCTTCCAACCCAAACTATTCTATGATTCTATGATTATGGAACCCAGCTGTCTTTCATCAGATCTGGAATTTCCATGTTTACCTAGCAGGGTATTTCAGCCTGCCTTTCCTTGATGTGTCAGACATCACTTTGGCTGTTTTCACAGATTGTTTGGCCCCTTACCAGGGCACTTGGTTTGTCTTCAGTAGGGCAGGCAGCTGCTAACAGTGAAGGATAGTCCTGCGCAGAGCTGGGTAAGCTTCATGGCTCCTCATGGTCCTGAGAAACGTTGAACAAGGACCTCGCACTGGTGGTTTGAGCGCTGCCTGCTGTGGGAGTGGGCACAGCAGTAGAAACCACAAGCAGTAAATGGATCAGGAGGTTCTGAAACGGTGTCCCCAAACCTGAAAATGTACTTTACAGTGTGAGCAGTGAATCTGGGGCCCTGCTAGGCCCAGAGATCCCACTGGATGCATTACAGGCACGTGGGCAAGCTTCTCCTACAGCAAAGGATCTTTCTACCAACAGTGATGTTGGGCGCTTTAATGATGGGTCACACTGCTCTCCTTTGGCATTCACATATTCTTCCTCTTACCTTCCCTATCACTTAACACTCTGCTCCTGCAGCAGCAGGAGGGAATGAATAAATTGAGGCAAATTGCAGGAAATAAGCCAGGGAGGAGCAGCTGGCATTCAGACAGCACTTCAGTGCGAGGCACCTAGGCTCTCTACAGGCAGCAGAGTTGTTACTTATGTACTCGGCATCTCAGGCACAAAGCCTTAAGAATAAGTAGTGGAGAAAGGGTAAACCAGAGCACTGCAGAACCTGGAGTGAACCACTCGGCTGCTTCGGTTTTTCTTCTTATTCTGCTCCAACAGCAGCGTATGCTGTCTGATCCTGTTCCCCTCTCCCCGTTACTCTTCTCCTGCCTGTGGTCTGTGGCTGGGGAAAGCTGAAGCGGGTGGGTATCGTGTACAACCAAGGCTGGAGTCTTTTGGATCCAAATCCTGTACCTGCTCTTTCTTTAGAATAGGTGTTTAATGCCTTTAGGAAAACAAATAAGCATGATCCTCAAAACAAATAAGCACAATCCCCCAAAATCCCACAACCCTTAGCTTCTCTTTGGATTTGGCATCTTCCTGTTAAAATCTTCTACTTTTAAACAGCTTTGGGGAACGGGAATGTAAAAGTCTCAGCAGAGATCTCCAAGAAGTCTTGTTTTTGCAAAGCCATGGATGCAAATGGCTAGCTGACACTACCACTGTCTCTAAGAACAGGTGTTGGGGGAGAATTTTCCCTGGAAGCAAATCCCTCAACTCTATTGCACACAAAAAACAAAAATTCATTAAGAAACAAAGACCATCTGCCACCTTTCAGGTGGAGCAGCAGATTTTTTTTTTTAAAGCCAAAGGTACTCCTAAATCTGACTGAAAGCATGTGAGTGAAAATGATGTCTCACAGTATGGGAGTGATGAGTTTCAGAGGTTCTCTCCTCAATCAATATTTTATTTTTAGCAGAACTTCCCCTGAGTAGGACAATTACAGTAGATTTCATTTTAAAAAAAAAAAAAGTAATATACAGATTCAGTCCTCAAAGGCAAAGTCAGCAGACTTTCAGAATTTCTAATCCTACAGCACACTTCACGCTGATGCAGTGCAGCTTGTTCTATGTCCCACAGCCTCAGTGTTAAATCCGCATTTGTCAAGGATTCTTCTTGTGGCCTTGCTCTGAGTGCCTCCAGGTGCAAAGCTGTACCCAGACTTCACCCCCCACCTGCCAAGGGAAGCTGCTGAAGCAGTTACAGCATCTCTCGTATTCAGAAAGTAAGGAGGTAAGTGTTCCGTGGTCCAAAGTTTTCATCCCTGTTCTTACAGAGGGACAAAGATAGCACCTCTTTAATAAGGTCTCACAGCAACTCTGGGATCAGCTGCCCGTTCTCCTTTAATAAGTGGGATGAATGTGACCTTCCCTCTGCTCTCTCATATTCATTGTAATTAGTCTTCTAGCTCACACTTGCCTTAAGACTACCTCTGAAGAACACAGGAGTTCACACTGTGCCTTGGTGTGCTATTAAGCCTTGAATTAAACCTGCAAACCTTCCCTGTGCGGGACTGGGGTGTTCTTTCTCAAGAATAGCAACAAAAAGCAGGAGAGGACAAAATGACCCTGAAAGAGTCTTAAACTACGACTGATACCAAGCCAGTGTTTGTCAGCCCCCAGGCAGAGCGTGCCCTCTGCTCTGCGCCCTGATCCCAACAGCAGCACGCTCACCGCTCTTTTCTGAAGGAGATACTGGCACCTACTGGAAGACGAGTTTATATCTAGGCTGAAGGGGATCGGAAGGAAGGCAAGTATCCTTATATATGAGGAATGAGCAGATTTTGAGAAAGGATGAACGGTCTTGCTGACCGCACAGCAGAGTTGCAGGGGAAGCCCTAGGAAGTGACCTCTGGGTGGCCCTCCAGCAAGCGTGGCTCCTGCCCAGAAAAAAACTTGTGTAAACTCTTCTCTCTGAAAGACTGCTGCTGTTCTAAAACCATGCTTAAAGGGGTTTTGGTCAGGAAGAAGTCCTGGCGAAATCTCAGAATATAAAAGTTCTGTCTAAACAAATGTAACCAGCAATCCTCCTCTGTGGCAGACCTGCCAAGTATTTAAAACATCGGGATGTTCTCCTGCCTCAATTCGCAGTATCTGAATACGAGGGCAGGAAATGAAATACAGCTCTCCCAGTAACAAAAGTCAGAAGAGCAGCTTCAAAGAGTTTAATCAACTTCTACATCTCAAATCATCCCACTGCTTTTAACAAGCTGAATTCGCAAATAATTGATGCAAATTAACACTTACAAATATTAACATACAAAGGAAGGTTACTGCAGCAAGATGCTGCACGGGAGAAAAACCTGTCTTTAGAACTGGCTTCGCCCTCATCGGGGATCGCACGAACTGGGCAGCCCTCAGCGGAAACCAGGCAGGTCCGCTTGCTTGGGCTGCGGGGTCTGGAGGAGCCATCCAGCTTTAGCCCCCCAACAGTAAGGTGTTGTCCCTGCCTGCCCACAGGTGATGTTTATTTGAAGTGCCTCTAAAAAAAGGCAAATGCTATCATTTTGAGAAACAAGCAGCAGTCTCTCACTTAACTAAACATGACCTCTACCAGACCAGGTCTGTTGCTAGACTTCTGAAGCCTGACAGGAAGACCCAGGCAAGTGGGAACAGCAACGTGGCTCCAGGACACCTTTGCAGGCTTCCCCAGGACAGCTCCAGCCTCGGGCTGGAGATAGAATCACAGAATGGTTTGGGGTGGAAGGCACATTTAAAGGCCATCTAGTCCAACCCCCCTGCCGTGGACATCTTCAACTAGATCAGGTTGCTCAGAGCCCCGTCCAACCTGACCCTGAATGTCTCCAGGGATCATGGAAATGGGATGTAGAGACCCTGGATTGCTGACGCTCCTCCTGAAGCGAGGATTATGCTGGCGGGCTTTCCAAGACGGCACTCACTGATGCCTTCATTTCAGAGCAGAGGTATGAAGTATTTGTTGTGGGAAATTTTATGTGCCCTAGACAGTGGGCATCTTACAGCCACGTGTTCTCTGGCCGTATCCTTCTGCTGCCCTGATACAGACACTCATGGTATTTCTTGAAGTGCTCAGCTTCCCAGGAGAACCGTAACATGCTCACAGCAATGTAATATTTTTATTATTACAAAAGATTTCTTCAGCAAACTGCTGTCTGACACCTCTATGTATTAAACATGGAAACAGCAAACCAACCCATCTAATGTTATAGGTTATTTAGGGTCTCAGCTGGTGATTCAGGTAAGCACAACTGTTTTCTTTCTCCCCACCCATTCACTTCCTTGACTTTTTTTTCCAAGCAAAGCCCAAACAAGTTACAGATCGGAAG